TACTTTATTCTCGACTATGCGAGGCACGCCCGTGGAGACATAAGAAGATATGTACAACTGTATAAATATTTTATGGCAACTGTGACAGTAAAAGTAGAAAATTGGTCGTATGTCCATGAGAAAATAAATAAATAGATAGTTTATTCTCGGTTTCATAAAGACGCACCAACTTAGGCATGATCAAGGTTTAAAAACTGTTGTGTATCACGATGATACTCCGGGTTCAATCGTGTGTAGTTGAAACGGTGTCAAGAAGATTTGGTATGTGAATCCAGTCGGCTTGCCAGTACGTAGTTGTGGACTGTGACTTTATTCAGTGGCGAGTCACATCCGCCACGTCGCAGTGTTGTTAAACAGACATTTGTGGCTTTTTATAGGGAGAACCCTTGTCAGGCGAAAACCCATCAGGTCCTGCAACACTGCCGTTAGGCATTTTGAACATTAATGTTGAACTGGCAAAGCCGCTTGACGACTGGTTTCACATTCGGTTTTTCGCGGGGTAATGGCATCTAACTTCCTCTGTTAGTTGGACGGGTATTTTGCTCTGGGTCGTCATGATTTTTTGAGGTCGGTGGAGGAGAGGGACATCGTCATTTTTCTTCTTGTTGTAAGTCCAGGTGAGCAAAAGTTTCAATTTTTTCGCTGTCCAGATTTTTCAGATGTATAATGTATGGGAGTATGAGGATATGTCCAGTTCTCCATATTGGACAAGGGTTATGGTGATTTTAGGTCGGTCCTTGCGGAGTTTTACCATCCCCCATGTCAGTCCTTGTGGGTTGTTACGTCCGTCTTGGGCCAAAATTGTTCCTCAGTCCAATCCCAGATCTCCAAGATATCCCGGACCTCAGAGAAAAGGAAAAGTGAGAGACAACCGAGAGAAGACCGCAAGAACAGGCATGGAGTTGAATATTGTTAATGTCTTAAGTTATAACATGGGCTTGAGACAAAAGCATGTACACTGTGCAACAATAATTATGCTGAAAATGTCTTTTGAGTATCCTATAGAATCATTAGCGTCTATAAAAACGGACACTAAACTGAAACCACCGACGTCCAACGGAGCGTTCGGTAAATAGGCCGCGTCGCTGAGACTCGTATACCGACTGCAGTGTTATTTTCAGAAACGATACTGAGTCTTTCGCTGTTCTCCCAAGACCGTATGCTAGATGACCTTTAGTGGTTTGGAATACGCGTTACCGAAATCCTGCCTCCCGGCTTCCCCGGCGTGACTGTGCGCACACTAACCAGACTGGGTAACTTGCTAGCTGACAAGTCTCGCCCTCGCATTTTGTGATTTGTTCTGTGCACTCCGGAGGAGCGCCAAGCACTTCTGCGTTTCGCCTTTAAGCTCAAGGGCACTGGTGTCACTATACACACAGACCTCTTTTTGGCGTATAAGGTTAACCTGCGGGAAGCTTTGAAGGATCTTAAAGCCCGCCGCGCATCAGAACAAAAAACCCTTCGCTTAGTGGGTTTTCGGTGGTGCGCCGGCGGTCCACTTCCGCCCTAGCAGAGCCGTTTTGGTGGCGCACGATCCCGGACTCACAATGTCAAATCCCTTCAGGTGATCTTAAGCAATGTGCGTAGCCAGCGATACAAGCTGTGCGAAGTCGGCTGCTTTGTGGACGACTGTCGTCCAGACGTTCACGCATTCACTGTAACGTGGTTTTCCACCTGAAGTGTGTTTGCCAGGCTACGCACTGCTGAGATGTGACCACAACTCTGATCGGCGCGGAGGCGGCGTTGCTTCGAACGTAAACTCCGCACATACTGTCTTTAACGCGTATAGTTTCAGATCATCAGAGCGTAATGTTGTGGCACTCGCAGTTAACCTGTGTATTGCCTCCGCGGGATTTAAAGTTGTGCTGGTCTATAGAAGCCCCGACAGCGTTGCTAAGGGGCTAGCTGATTTCATCCTCGAGCAATCGGCAAATAGGTGTTTAGTGATGGGGTACTTCAATCTTCCCGACGTTGACTGGCAGACTTTTTCTGCGACGCTGTTGCAAGGTGTTTGGCTACCGAGCTTCTGAGCTGCCCTTGCATGCTTCCCTGCACTAATTTGTCTATCGGCCCACTAGATTCATGATAGGTCCACATCCGTCCCTCTTGGATTTGATCTTCTCTAAATTCATTGATTTTGTCACGGACATTTTATACAAATCACCTCTAGGTGCTAGAAACCAAGCATGTCCCTCATTTAAGTGCGCCCTTAGTCGTCAGATTAATGATCATTCCGACCGAGTTCCAAATATATGGCGCGCGGACTGTCAGACAATGAAAGCCGAAGCCGCAAAGTCGTCTTCTGTCATTTTGGAAAGTGATGACATTCAAACGGCCTGGGACAGATTTAACTCATGCTTCATTGAGCTCTCTCTCCCATATACCACTATCTGGCAGAAATGCAACTAGGGCAAAACCACCCTGGTTTGATTCTGCTGTACACAAACAACTCAACAGACGTGCCAGATGTTGGCGTACCTACTTATCTGCTCCTTCATTAGGCACTATCACGCGATCTCGTGAGGTTTGGAAATGCCTGCAGAAAGTATCTACGAGGTGCTCGTCTGCAGCATGAAGTAGGGCTTGCTCGTATAGCCTCATCAAACCCAAACGCTTCTTCGCATATGTCAAAGGCAAAGCAACATGGATTTGTGCATCCCAGTGTTGTTTGGTCCTGACGGCACTGCTATTGCCACGGATCACGAAAATGGTTCGTTTCTCGGGGAACAGTATGCTTGGGTTTATGTTCCAAAGCCACAGACGCCGCATATCAGTCTCCAGGCAAAAGTTCCTAAGGGCTCCCACTTGGAGGGGGTTTCTATAACCGGGGCTCAAGCGCTCCGGCTTTAGAGGCAATTAAATTCCAATAAAGCTGCCGGTGGAGATGCTATTCATCCCAAACTTTTAGCTGATGAACTTTGCCGTCCGAGTACGCAACATTTTGTGAAGTCACTACGAGGCTGCTGTTTACCCAAGGACTGGAAGGAGGCTATTGTTTGTCCCATTTTTAAGAAACGGGATAAGCTCCTCTTTGATAACTATAGAACGGTCAGTTTAACGAGCGTGCTGGTCGAGTCATTGGAAAAACTCGTGAGGGACGCTCTCGAAGGACGCTTGAAAGCGTTTGCGTTGCTTAATCCTTCTCAGCACGGTTTTCGTAACGGCTATTCTTGCCTTACTAACTTCTTAACCGCTCGTGAAAACTGGGCCGAAGCCGTTGATTGCCGGAAGGCAGTGGACGTGCTGTTTGTTGACTTTTCAAAATCTCTTGACACCGTTCCACATTCGCGCCATTTGTACAAGCTGAATTCCTGCGGTATTTCCGGACCACTCTTACGATGGATTTCAGCTTTCCTAATGGGAAGGAAAATGTGTGTGCGGGTAGGTTCAAGCCTGTCCTACCGCCAATGTGTTCTCAGTGACGTTCCGCTTGGTCCGGTTCCCAACCCCCTCTCTTTACTTTAAACGTTAATGACCTAGCTGATGAATTGGGTGTACCATCCAAAATGTTTGCGGTTGGCTTGAAACTCCGGTTAACGATAGACGAGCCGATTGGTCTACTGACCCTACAGGGGGCTCTGGATAGACTTTGGGACTGGTCAATTTTGTGGCAGTTGCCCGTTAACTTAGCGAAATGTTCTGTTTTACGCCTTGGTCCAAATGACCCGCCGAAGCATTATTTGCTTGGCGGCCAAGAGGTACCGCGAGTTCAACTCCAATCTGACCTCGGTGTTTTGCTGTCATCCGAATTTCAGCCCAGTGAACACTAGACGACAGCTGCTCGCAAATATTTCAACAGGTTGTGGATGATCCGCAGGTTATTCGGGAGCATGACCACTGAAATGTTCGTTAGTCTGTTTTCGGCGTTTGTAGAGCCGCAGTTGGTATACTGCTTCTAGGCTTGTCCACCATATCTGGTTCGTGATAAGATGGCAGTTGAACTAGTCCTGCTGTCAGTGACGAAAACTGTGCACCAATTAAAGAAGCTGACGTACCCGGAGAGGCTACGTAAGTTGGATATGTTTTCCATGCATTACAGGCGGCTTCGGGGCGACTATAAAATCAGCTGGTCCTGATAGCGACATCCCGCCATAGTTAAGCCGCGTACTGATATCCTTCAGTATCACGTGGCGGAGTTATTTAACCAGTCTCTTCAAGAAGGCAAGCTGCCACGTGATTGGAAGGAGGCGACTATTGTTGCCATCCACAAGGGGGTTCTGAGTCGGTGCCTCTTAACTATAGACCTGTTAGTTTGACCAGCATCATGCTGACATGCTTGGAAAAGCTAATACGGAACAGGATTTGTGAACACTTGACTGAACACAAGCTAACTAGAGCGGAACGGCATGGCTTTCTCAAAAAGAAGTCTTGTCTTACCAATTTAGTGTGCTTTTTGGACGAGATTACCCGTTGTCTTAATAGTGGGATATCGGTAGAGGTGTGCTATTTGGACTTCAGTAAAGCCCTCGACTCCGTGATTCATCGATTTTTAGTTGAGTAGCTGACATGGTTTGGATTGCATCATTAATTATTACTATGGCTCTCTGAATTCTTACGTGGGAGAACATTCAGAGTCAGGGTTGGGGAAGCGAGTTCTAGTGTTGGCCAAGCCTACAGCGGTGTCCCCCAAGGTTCGTTACTAGGTCCATTGCTGTTTCTTATGTTTACAAATGACCTGGCTCCTCCTCTTGAGGGTCCCTGTTACATCTTCGCAGATGACTTGAAGCTAGTCAGTAGGGGAAACCGAGCGATATTGGCTAAGGACATCATCATTGTGGTTAATTGGTGAAGCCAATGGGACCTACATTTAAATGCCAACAAATGTCAACTATTGACTAGTAGTGGCTGCGGAATGGCAGTTCAGTCTGCTGTAGGATCTCTATCATTGCGGCATACTGACGAAGCCCGTGGTCTAGTTGTCATCGTATCGAACAATTTTAAGCTTTTGGCACAGTGTCGCCATGCTGCCAATAAAGCTCGACAGGAGCTATTTCGCCTTAGGAGAGCGCTCAGTAACACAAGCAGAAGTATTCTTGCCGTTATATAAAGCAGTCGTTAGGCCACATCTGGTGTATTGTGTTCAGGCTTGGTCACCGTACCTCCGGATTGATACCATTTGTTTAGAAAAGATTCAGAAACTTGCGACTAGGATGATTGAAGGTCAAGGATGGAAGTCTTACAAGGATCGCCTAAGTAGCTTAGGGTTATTTTCCTTGGAACGACGTAGGTTGAGAGGGGATTTGATAGAGACGTTTAAGATCATTAAGGGACTTAGTGGTATTAGTTCCACCCATCTGTTTGAGTTGGCTATGTCAGACCATCTGCGCGGGCATCGCCTGAAGCTCAAACATCATAGAGCTCGTTTGGACATCAGGGCAAAGCTTTTACGAAGCGAGTAGTTAACTTCTGGAATAAGCTTCCTTCTGATTTAGTGGAGTCTGAGACCGATGAAGCATTCAAAAGGGACTTACACGATTGTTGGCCCATCCTTTTTCTAGAGATATTGCAGTTGTACTGGAATATGTAATGTATTTTGATGCTGGCATATGAAAGTACAAAGATTGCTCTTGTTCTTGCTTCATTCTATTGCAGAAGCAAGAAGAGCTAATCCAACTTCGAAGTGCCGGGGGCCGCTTCACTTACCAGTACAAGAACTGGACGTTCGTTAGGCGAAAGCCTCTATCGTCCATCTGATCTTACCTGCCTTGGTCCTCACTTATCGTATAACGATGGGTCAGGTTGATCCCGATTTGACTGGACCGTTTCGCACAACACGGCTGCCAACCTTCCGTGGCCATCCATTACAGTTGCACGAAACCTGATCTGACCGGGTTTGGGCAGCTTTTCGGTTATCGCGTAGGGTTACAGCATATGGGAACGCATTGCCTGCAGACGTCGTGATGGCACCGACGGTTAAAGTGTTCAAGCATCGACTTAAGGCTCTGTCTGCAGTTTAAAGTCTTCCCCTACATGTCTTAAACTTTCATTCGTCTACTACGGCCTTCGCCTCTTTAACTCATTTTAACTTACATCTTAATATTGCCTGCTATATTCCATAAGCTTGTCCACTCTCCTTTACTGACACTACTCTTTTGTTTTATTTTTCACGGGGCCGGCACAGCGGGGGCTGCTAGTGCGAGGCACCTGGGCATTGTTTGGTTGACCATGTGGTTCGTGTGCGTTGATTTAGCTCTCTTTTGGCACATCAAGGCACCAGTTTCCTTTTGGATCAACGACGTTTTCCAAGGTGGAGCAAGCGCGGCATTTTCCTACTGTTCCGGGCCCACTTGAACTTGAACTTCATTGTGTATTTAAGCTCATTGACACTCGGGTTCGCCAGTCGGTTCCGGTCATTACTTAGTCAAGTAGAGAGCGTAACATCTGAGCGGACTTTGAACCTCCTAGGTTTAAACAGCTTCCAGCTGTGACCTCGAGACCTACTGCCGATTCTTCGCCTAAAAAACTGCCTTAGCTTGTTTCCCAGAAGATAAGTATAAATAAGTGCGGCGTCCTTTTAGAGAATGATATTTTTATGAAGCCCAACATGTTGTTCGCCACAGCACTTCTCTTTAACGTGTCAAGGGTCGTTTTGAGATCAGAAGAAAGTTTTGTGCCCAGGTCCTTTTTCTTTGTGGCAACCTTGAATAGGTACCCGCCAGTGTGATACACGCTCAGTGGTTTAGCAACACTTATAGAAAGGGCTGAGCACTTATCTTTGCTGACCGGCAAATCCTACTTGAAAACCAAGAGTGTGGCAGATCACGCGTTTCGTTTAATCGGTCGGAGTCTTGGAGGCTGGACACTTCTGACCATAGGCTGAGGTCGTCTGCATAGATCAGACAGTCTCTTTGTAGCATACTGGGTAGATGATTGATATATCTTGAACGATTCCGATCCCAGAACGGAGCCTTATGGTACGCCACTATGCATAAGCACGGGGACTGAAAGCGAACGGACTGACAATGCCGATCGTCTTCTACAATTTTGTGCGGACAACGCCATTTCTTAGCAGCAATGCTTTACGACACAGTGGGCTGCGAAGTGCCACCTGGCGTCCAGTATCTGGTTAGCGTTGGGCCCAAGTTGACCACATACCCATAAGTTAAAGACAGCGTGCTTCCATCCAGCATTGCCGGTCGTACTGGAGTACCCGTGTCCACTATCATCATGCCTTGGTACGCTGTCATTTCTCCATGAACTTTACCGGGAGGTGCACCAGGGGTCCTCTCCGATTGGTAACTAAAAGATTTTCTCCCCTAGCTCAGGCAAACCTATCAAGCCACACTGCATACCGAAATCTTGCCGTCTCGTTTTTATGACACTGACCTTCAGCGGCACAGCATTTCCGCCGCCATGCAGGATGCCGGAGCACCTGGTTGTGGCACTTTTAACGGTCACGGCACCAGTCACTATATCCGAGAGGTCGGTGGACCTGTTGGAATCTAGAAGAAACCTGCAAGCTGCCTATGAGCGCAAAGTGACCAGTCGGCCTA